GTGTATCAGTTCTGCTTATTCTCAGTTTCATTTTCTGGGTAAAGTATGCCAACAATAGCAACCTCCAAATACATAAGATACACACACACACCCCACTTAATTTTGGGAAATATAATTTATAGTCAGTTTTTTAATAAAGTTGAAAATTTAATCTAAACAAATAGTATATACATACACACACACAAAAATCCCTGCTTTTAAGTGCATTTTTAATCAAATCCTAAGAGATAGCCTAAATTATATTTACTTTAGAGAAAAGGCATCAGTGGTAAGAAATGCTTGAATTATACTGTGTTCTTCAGAGATTAAAAAATTAAAACCAATTTAGTTTCAGCACCTACTCTAACATCCCAAGTTAAAAATATATGGTTAACACATAGACCCAAGGATTAATTTATCAAACAGTCTATGTGGAAAGGAGCAAGCAAGTTTCAGCTTAACACATTTTCTGATGCACCTACATAAAAAACAAAGAATCATTATGGACTTTGCAAAGTGCATTTTTATCTTTCTCTCTAATGAGAAAGTGAAACAAGAGACATTCACCACCTCCCTAGAGATTCTCATAATTTACAAAGAATATCCTTCTCTATAGTGTTTACCCATAAATGACCAGCCTGTGCATTTAGTCATTACAGAGAGAATGTCTTGGCCTCTTAGGACCACTCATCATGTTTCTGATTCAGGCATCAAAAGGGAAAGAGGGGGAAGTTACCAAAAAAAAAGCTTTGTTAGGAACTCCCCACACCCTATTGTGTTTCTGGGTCACATGATAGAACACTGCTACTTAAGGGTAAAAACAAGGAAATTTATCAAGAAGGGTCATCACCCCTCTTGTGTCCTCACTAGTTGATCAGTTTGGGGCAAGAAGAACAGAGGAAAGAATAAAATCAGGCTTTCATGGGATGGGGAACCAGGCTCTCAGAAGTGCAGAAAGGGAACAAATACAGCTATTAGAACAGTGTCCCTATCACAGTAAGCACAGATGTGGCCTAAGCATCCTGCAACAAAAATAAAATACTGTCAAGAAAAATACTATGAAGTGAACATAATTAATACAAATCAATGAGCAGTGACATATAATTATTATGAGTTACTTTTTATTGGTCAGGCACACCACTTAACAAGAAACCACAATGACCTCTCTAAGCTATTTGTGTACGTGTGTTAGTCACTCAGTCCAACTCTTTGCAACCCCATGGACTGTAGCCCACAAGGCTTCTCTGTCCATGTAATTCTCCAGGCAAGAATACTAGAGTGGGTTGCCATTCCCTTCTCCAGGGAATATTCCCCACCCAGGAGTCAAACCCAGGTCTCCTGCATTGCAGGCAGATTTTTTACCATCTGAGCCACTGGGGAAGTCCAAGTTATTTGTATTTATCTCTAGTAACTCAAACTGCATCCCTACCAGTAGAAGAGTAAACCTCTCTACTAAAAAAAAAAAAAAAAAAAAAAAAAAAAATTTTTAAAAGAAAAAAAAAAAAAAAAACAAAAACCTTTTCAAGAGAAAAAAGTATTTAATTATGATCTTGGGACACTTGGGTTATAATCCCAAATGTTGAAGGAAAGGATTAATTAAATTTTGTTATTAAATCAACTTGTACTCTTCTTATTTTAGTTGATTTCTTCCTCTTTCCTTTTAGTCTCCATGTGCTGCCAAAATGATGCATAATCCCTGGGATTTAGAGTTCTTCATTCTCTGTAAAGTAAGGGGACTTTTTTTTTTTTCCTGCAGAGATAGGTAAAGTATCAAGAAAGCCAGAGCACTTAACCAGGAAGTTATAAGTTATTTCACCTTTTCTATCATTGAGAAAAATCATCTCAATTTGTCAAGGTCTTGGTTCCCTTATTTGTAAAAGGTCCACTTTATAATCTTTATCTTTCTCTGAAATACTTTAAGCAAATTACTTAACAATTTCAGAACTGAGATATATTAGATATAAAGAGAGATATAGTTAGTTATATACTTTCTTGAGATATAATTTATATACCATACAATTCACAACTTAAAGTATATAATTCAGTGGTTTTTCTAGTATATTTACAGAGTTGTATGATCATCACAAGAAATTTTAGAACAGGAACATAGCTTCTAAGGGCTTCCCTGGTGGCTCAGCGGTAAAGAATCTGCCTGCCAATGCAGGAGACCTGGGTTCCATCCCTGGGTCAGGAAGAGCCCCTGGAGGAGGAAATGACAACCCACTCCAGTATTCTTGCCTGGGAAATCCCATGGACAGAGGAGCCTAGGGGGCTACAGTCCAAGGGGTTGCAAAGAGTAAGACATGACTGAGCATGCACGCATACAGCTTCTAAATCCTCTCATTCACCATACAGATGGGTTAAATCATGTTTCCCAGGTCACAGATCTGATCAGTGGCACAGCCAGGCCTGGATCCCTGGGAATTATTAAGCCATTGACATCATCCCAGCCTCCCTTTCCCCAGCCCTGGGAAAGTTCTATGTGAATTAAAACCTGCTGTTAAAATGTTGCCTGGGAAGAACATCTGGCACTTTTTATGATCATGCTCCCTCTTATTTTATTAAGCCTGGTCTAATTTCTCCACCAAATCTGTCCCATTGCAAGATTTCTTAGAAAGACTTTCAAAACAGATAAAAACCTATCTATTAGGCACTTTGACCACAAAATGTGATTTGCGAAGCCCAGAGAGCTTTCCAGAAAAAGTCACAAAAAGGTTTCAGTTCATGTAAAAAGACTAAATTAGACTCTCTGCTCATTTCCTTTTTTAATGGACTGATGATGAGTAGTTAAACTAAACGATCTCATCTTCAGCATATTATTTACCAATGTCAATAACTTCCTGGGATTTCAACCATTCACTCTGGTTAGTGGTCAGAAACCAATTTCAATCCTCTTAGGGCTGTGTCCTGTTCATCTCTGAGATTTGCTCCCATGAAGTCTATTCTCAATAAAAGAATATCTTTCAAAAGGGGTTAGGACCCTGCAGAGGATGAGATGGTTGGATGGGATCACCAACTCAATGGATGTGAATTTGAGCAAACTCTGGGAGGTGGTGAAGGACAGGGAAGCCTAGCAAGCTGCAATCCATGGGGTGGCAAAGAGGCAGACACGACTGAGCGACTAAGCTAAGAAAGCTCCTGTAGCAAGCCCAGCTAGCTAGTGATTAAGCTGACACTGCCCAGACCACAGAAGCAGTAGGCCTCCGGGCTGCCCACCCCTCAGTACTGAGCTCACGGCAGACTTGCTAACTGCTCCCACCTTTTATTTTATTTTTACTTTCTGGCTGCATCGCATGTGGGATCTTAGTTCCCCTACCAGACATCAAACCCACACCCCCTATTCTGGAAGTGCAGAGTCATAACCCTTATACCACCAGGGAAGTCCCTGCTCCCAACTTTAAATGCACCCACTTCTTAGGTTTCCATGATACTCCTCTCTCCTCCATTCTACTAGTTCTTCCCTTCTTGTGCTTCTCCAGCCCCACGCTTTCACTTATCCAATAAATATTTATTGAGTGGTCACTGCTTATCAAGTCCCGGCCTAAACACTGTCCCTAAATGTGGGTGCTCCTACAGTCTATGAGTTTAACTCACTGTGCATTTTTTGACTTCCATTTGCACTTATATTTTTAAATCTCCATTGAGGCTAGAAATTCCCCCAAGTCTATAGCTCCAATCTGGATCTCACCCACTGGCTCCCAGGCCAGAGTCATCTGAGTATCTCACGGATTTTTCAAAGTGCCCAAAGCCCGCCTGCAGTGACCCCACCATCTCCCTGGTCACCTAACTGGCCCCTCATCCAGGACTCCTCATTACCCCAATAGTACCACCAACCACCCAGCATCCCCAGCTGGAAACTGCACACCACCCAGTTTCTTCATGGAAGGGATGTGAGTGAGAGAACAGGCAGCACTTTTCAACAAGAGACAGAGAGAAAGGAATCCTCTAATTCCAGCTGCTTTTCAGGGACCAATGTGTGAAAGAGGCAAGATAAGACCTCATCAGAAGAGTGAATTCTGAATGAAATCTGTCCAAGAGACCCAGCAGTGCTGGTGTAGGGTTGATTTTACAATGTGAGTTCTGCCATGGCTGGGAGACTGAAATCTTAGAATACGAATTTGCTTGTCAACAGACACCCACACCCACACACACACCAATCACATGCCGGCTTGCCTGTCTTCTTGTTTCCTCTGCTCAGAACACCTATCCTTTCCACCCACACCCTCCACCACAATTCCTTCTCATATTTAATTTTCAAATGACGCGACTCTTCCTCCGGGAAGTTCTCCCTGATGCCCCTATCTTATTATCTGCCATCCACTGTGCGTGGAGGTGTGTCCAACACTATATGTTTACGTGTCTGTCTCAGTGTCTTCCCACAAAACTGGCAGCTCGTAGAGAACAGGAGCCTGGTGCCCAGGCCCGGGCCGACACCGGGAAGACTATGCGGGAGGAAGAACGGCTGTAGACAGCCCAGCCCGGAGCTGCGGGCAGTCAGGCAGGCGGGGTCCACCTCCAGGCCGGGAGCGCCAAGTACACAGCATCCCCAGATCCGCCGACGCCCGCGCGGCTGCCCAGGAATGGCAGGACGTGCCCCGCGGGGTCTCCCAACCAAAAGGTGGGGGACTCGAGGGAGGCCATGCCGGCCCTGCACCCTCTGTGGTCCTCTTCCCGGCGCGGGTCCGGGAATAGAGGCACGGAGCAGAGCCTCCAGGCCTCGAGACGCCGTCTCTGCTCGCCCGAGCCCTGCGGCCCGCCACCTCTGGTCTCCCGTCCGCAGAACCTCTCAGAATTTCAGTGGCTGAGCATGGAGCAGGGGGGGCCGGGGACTGGCAAGAAGGAGGCGCCAAGAAGCGGAGGAGAGCCGGCGGCCCCTCACTCCACCCCCGCGCCCACTTAGGCGGGAAGAAATCGAGCCCTAAAAGAGGCCCCTAAGGGCGCCGGAGTCTCAGAGGCCCCGGAGCCTCTAGGGGACCGCGGCTCCCCTAGCCCTCCTCCCTCCCTCCTCCGTGTGTCCCTACCTGGCTGGCTTTGTGGAACTGCTTTTTCAGCCCCGCCACCGACATCGCGACGGCGCGGCGGCCGGGGCTGCCGGTCCCTGGACTCGGCCGTTCCGCCGGGCCGGCCTCCCACGGCCACGGCCACGGCCACAGCCGCTGTCACACGCGCACACACGCGCGCACGCCGATGGCAACACTGCGTTCCAAAGCCCCTGCGCAGCCCATTGGCCAAGCCGCGGAGATATGCAAATGAGGCCGCTGGGGCCGCCCACGCTTCATTGTTGCGTGGAGACCCGGGAGGACTGGAGCTGCTGCGAAAATGGGCCTGCGAAGCTGGGCGGCATGGGGATGTCCCCGGGTCCGGAGAGCAGAGCCATACAGGACTGTTTGCAGGGCGTGCGACCGGATGCATCTGGCCATAGGACTGCCCTGGATGGGACAGAGGAATCAACTCTCTATGCTTTGGGCAATATCGCAGCTCTCAGGGGCATTTTTGGTAGGTTTCTGTTTTTAAAAACGGACGCCCCCCCCACAATACAGGCTTCCCTAGTGGCTCAGATGGTAAAGAATCTCTGCAATGCAGGAGCCCCGTAATACGCCTTGTTGTTCAGTCGCTCAGTTGTGTCCGGCTGCAGCACACCAGGCTTCCCTGTCCTTCACCATCTCCTGGAGCCTGCTCAAATTCATGTCCATTGAGTCGGTGATGCCATCCAACCAACTCGTCCTCTGTCGTCCCCTTCTCCTCTTGCCTTCAATCTTTCCCAGTATCAGGGCCTTTCCTAATGAGTCGACTCTTCCCATCAGGCGGCCAAAGTACTGGAGCGTCAGCTTCAGCATCAGTCCTTCCAATGAATATTCAGGATTGATTTCCTTTAGGATTGACTGCTTTGATCTCCTTGCCATCCAAATGGTCCACTGGAGAAGCGAATGGCAAAGCACTGCAGCATTCTTCCCTTTAAACCCCAGGAACAGTAATATGCTTAAGGAGAAAGAAAGGTAACAGGACATAGAATCTGTAATAGGAGGAATTGGTATGTGGGCAGCACATCTGTTTCTTCTCAACCCACTGGATGCTCTGGGTGCAATCCAGCCTTCGAGGAGCCCAAGGGTTACCAGGTAATTTATTAAATACTGTGCTTGCCTCTTATACAGCGCTTAGCCCACTGTCAACTATATTAAGAGCAGCTGTCTCCAAGGAGCCTTAAAGGAAGCTCTCTGTATCCAGGGGAACTCACCCCAGGAGGAGACCAGCTCCCTCAGTAATTCTTACCAACTGTGTCAGCTACAGGGCACCCATGTACATGGAGGCCTAGCCAGGGATCTGAAGCATCCCATTGACCTTCGAGTCAGACCTGTGCCCAACAGGCCAGCCATCTGAGCTGGAAGCTGGCCTCCAAAGGCCCCTGAATTAGTCACTCAGTCATGTGTGACTCATGGTGACCCCATGGACTGTAGCCCACCAGGCTCCTCTGTCCATGAGAACTCTTCAGGCAAGAATACTGGAGTGGGTTGTCATGCCCTCCTCCAGGGGATCTTCTCAACCCAGGGATAGAAACCAGGTCTCCCCCATTGCAGGCAGATTCTTTACCATCTGAGCCACCAGGGAAACCCCCAAAGATCCCTAGGGCCCCCAAGACCTAAAAACCACTTTTAGCAGCACCTAACACTGAAAGAAACAAGCATATTCCTCCTCCAGTCTCCACCTAAAAGAAAGAAGCTCCTCTTTCTGCACCTTCAACAGATCCCATCTGGGATGACCCAAGTTCAGTTCAGTTGTTCAGTCGTGTCCAACTCTTTGTTACCCCAGCACACCAGGCTTCCCTGTCCTTCACCAACTCCCAGAGCTTGCTCAAACTCATGTCCATCAAGTCAGTGATGCCATCCAACCATCTAATCCTCTGTCATCCCCTTCTCCTCCTGCCTTCAATCTTTCCCAGCATCAGGGTCTTTTCCAAGGAGTCAGTTCTTCGCATCAGGTGGCCAGGTGGTATTGGCATTTCAGCTTCAGCATGAGTCCTTCCAATGAATATTCAGGACTGATTTCCTTTAGGATGGACTGATTTGATCTCCTTGCAATCCAAGAGACTCTCAGAGCCCCGGTTTACACCTGTTCCCTGGCATCCTCTCCTGATATCTGCATTTTTCCAGGATAAAAGTCACACAGCCTCTCCTTTGACATTAGCTCCCAACTCTTATTCCTCAGGTCATCCTAGAGAGAATCATGGACTAGTATCTAAATCTCCCTGTGCCTAAGTTCCCTCACTCTCCCTTTGAAGGGTGGGAATGGGATCATTCTTCCTCAGATAGGGGAGGTAATGAAGGAAGCTAGTGAAGGAGATAAAGGCAGCCATCCAGAGGGTTAATTAGCATGACTTGTGCAAGTGCGCAAATGAGCTACATACAGCTGACACCAGCCACAGATAGATAAATAGGTGTGAGAGTTGTAACAGCTAGGTCCAAAGAGTATAGCAAGACAACCTGTTCATACGACAGGCTGACCTCCACTCAACAGCAGGGGAACTGCTACTAAGACAAGGGCAACTAGGGGCCAGGGCCACCTGGAAGAGCTCACCTGCCTTCTTTCTCCGTATCCAGGAGTTGTGTAAATAGAACAGGTTTGAAGGAATTTCTCCTTAAGTCAGTCTGACTCTGCGCCCTTTGGGAAGGGGGGGAGGGGTTTGAATTTTTTATTAATAAAACTTTTTAGCCTTTTCCCCTTGGTTGATAGCACACTCCAGTTAATTTCGGTAATTGATCTCTTAATTTTATCAAGTGTAGAACTGTCATTATAGTCTCATCATTTCTTAACTTCAGAATCATTCATATACGTTTTTCCTTCATACAAGCATTTGTGATTTTTCTTAATTTTTTTCTGTGATAAGTCTCAGAAGTTTGCCAGTTTTATTGGTTGTTTAAAACAGTTCTTGAATTTTTTCATCATTGCTATAGTTTTTTTTCCTCTCATTAATTTATGTCTTTATTATACATTCTTTCCTTCTGTTTTGTTCAGGGGATTGAAGTTATTCACAGTAGAAAATGACTCTAGACGGGAAGAAAAATACACTGGAGAAGGATAGCATGCAGCCCAGGTGTTCAGGGGTTGTAGGGAACCAGGTGGGGGGATGAGCAGAAACTAGGAATCTGAGTGGTCAGATCCCCAGCTTGTTGGGATGTGCTGGTTACACCACATGTTCTGGCTGTGGCTACCAGAATGACCACTAAGCTGCTTCTGTTTCTTTCAGGCACTCATTCCAAGTTCAGAGTTCTAGTTCCAGGGAGCAGCATCTGATCAACTAAGTCTAGATGTTCTGCTCCAGCTCTACATGTCCAAGACCAACTTCATGGTGGATTCCCCTGATAGGAGAAGAAGCTTCAGAAGCTAGGCAGCCAAAAACAATTGCCTACAAACAAAACACGAATGCCACTAATGTTTATCTGGGGATTCCTTCAGTTGAATGTGTTCTATTTATTTGTTATACTTTCTGGTTTTATAGTCATCGTATGTAAAGCTATGAATTTTCCTCCTCGGTATGGCTTTGGTTTCACACTTTGTTCTCATTATATAATATAGCTCTTCTGTTTGTGTTCTAAATAAATTTGTAATTGCAGTTACAAAGAGGAAATTACTCTTTGATCCAAATTTCATTCAGGACAATTTTTAAAAACCTTTTCTAGGTGGTTTGATTTTTCTTATTCATGGTATATGAAATTTGAGACTTGTAGTACTATTGTCAAACATGTCTTTAAGTTCTTTTCTTTCAACATAGTCTATTATGTTACATTTTATAAATGTACCACAGAGGTTAGAAATAATGGGTATTTTCAGTTTCTAGGGTACAGTTTTTAAGTTCATGGGTAGCAGAAGCATGTGTTCTACTGAAGTTCCTAGCTCGGAGGGAGATTTCAAAGTCCCACTAACTGGAGTCTTGTTGGCCAATTCAAGGTTTGCCTTTTACATCACCATCAACTGTTCAGGGCCCAAAGGCCCATAACTCCTCAGTCTGCTTAGAGAAGAGAATACAGATGTCTGTGGCTATTTGACAGAGTTGTCTTCATGGAATGAAACCAATGGGAGAGTCTTGAGGCACAAACAAGCATCACCCTAATTTGAAGGATCTTTGGGCTTTTGATGATCTTCAAGGTCCATGACAAGAGAGATGCTGTCATGGCACTCTGGACATATGGCCCATGTTTTGCCAGAGGTTTGGGTGTTCTCCTGTGTTCCTTTCTTTATAGTACTTGGCTCCCTCTTCCCCTTTCCCTTCCCTGGTCCACAGAGGACAATGCACATTCACATATCTCTTGTCTTGTGATCAGGCCAGCTTGTCAATTAGGCAGTCCTCATGCCTGGCCCGGTCATGAGCAACACATCTGTCTGTGTGGGCAGGAGCAGAAGAGCCTTGGGCGGAGGATTGACAGGAAAGGAAGCTTATTGATTAACGTCTCCAAATATTATCCCATCATGCATGTCATCTGTCCCCGCCTCCCTTCAAATAGCTCGCTTGGGACTTCTCTAGTGGCCCAGGGGCTAGGACTCTGCACTCCCAATGCAGAGAGCCCAGCTTCAGTCTCTGGTCAGAGAACTAGATTCCACATGCCACAACTAAGACTTGGCACAGCCAAATAAATAACTTAAAAAAAAATAGCTCCTTTTAAAACTGGTATCTATTTATTTCAAAGGTTTTCTTTGCTTTTCCTATATTTTTGGAAGTTATATACTCAATTTTTACCCACTAGTGGTTACCATTGTTCTATAAAATATTTTACTTTATATTCTCTCTCAGCATCAATAATTAAACATTTAGGGAAGCCACAGCATGACTAGAATGAGCAGTAGCCAGGGCACCTTGACTAGGGTCATCTTGTCACCTCCGTCAACTTAAACCAGCTCATGCTTTAGCTCCAGCCAGCTGAGAAGGTTCCACCAGAGACCAGAGTGGGTCCACTTTCCTTTGTCTGAAATAGAAAATGAACCAGTGTGAGACTGGGATGCAGGATGTTGATTTTTAAGTAAGGGAGGAAAGATGGAGAGAAGAAGACAACTTAAACAGAAATCCTAAGATAAAAGAATAATCATTTTAAATTCAAAATAAAA